CACCCGATAATGGTAAAAAAAGGTACCGTGAAAAGTATATGATTGAGCAAAAACAATTTGTAATCAATCTAATTTTTCCAAAGAAAAACAATTCATAAAATACATTTTAAATTTCAATAATTATCCAAAATGTTTTAACGAAATTGAATATCAATATCAAATATAAGTTCTTTAGTGGTCGTTGTACGGAGTAGACGTGTCCGCGAGTCCGGCGAAGCAAAGTGCGATAAGCGAAATAGATATCATTCCACGCGATGTGATATCGGCGGTAAAAAAAACCGTTAAAATATCGTGAAAATGTGCGACCAAATAAAGGCAATAGAAACTCGCTTGGGAGAGATTAATAAAAAAAGGGGTGAAATTGCAGACCCGAGTGAACAAATTCTCTGGGTCCAACCAACTGGAACAAAATATACAGGCGAAAATTCGAAGGCCACCCCCGGTGGTTGTTAGTAATATTGTAGACTACAACAAAATAAAAAGCCAACTGAACAGTAAAAAATTAAAATTCAATGCCGCACTACCGAATAATAACCAGATGAAGTTCAATGTAGAAACCCCAGAAGAATATGGAGATTTGACAGAAATACTAAATGAAGATAAACAAGAATGGCATTCTTATGAAAATAAACAACAAAGACCGATCAGAGTAATGTTCAAAAATCTTCACCCGTCGTGTAGCACTGAAGAGCTATTACAGGAGCTGAAAGGCTCTAAAGCAATCAGTGTTCTAAATAAACTAAAGAAAATCTCGAGGAACCAGAAGACAGAATATATCAAGTTGCCATTATTTATAGCAACTTTTGAAAATACTGAAGACGTCAAAAAAGTATTTGAAATACAATATCTAGCCAACTCGAAAATTGTTGTGGAATCACTCAAAACAGCCCAACTGATTCCACAATGCAAAAAGTGCTGAAGATTTGGACACACGCAAAAATATTGCAATAGAGTACCAGTGTGTGTCAAGTGTGCTGGGAATCATCTTACTGCGTCATGTACTAAACATAGAGTAAGTAACATAATATAATACCTTACTTACTTATTACACTGCACTTATTACTTTCTCTATGGTACTACACCCAAAATCACTAAGTGCTCCAACTGCGGTGAAGCGCACCCAGCTAACCATAGAGGATGTACTGTTGCCGAAGCATTACAACAGAGGAGAGATCAAGATAAAAGACGATCGCTGAAAAATGCAGCAATAAATGCTGGCACCCTAAGCATAGAGAAGACGAACAAAATTAATACTCTCTCCTATGCTGAAACTGCTAGGAAAAATAAAAATCCGCAACCCGCCCAACAAGCATCGAACCTAATTGAAAGAAACTCTGTTCAAGACATGATGCGACGAATGATGGATAGGCTGGATAGTATCAATGATAGCCTCAATATTTTGGAGACAAAAGCAACAGGAGCCATTCCAAAAAGAAATAAATAATGAATGAATACCAAAGAATTACGAATTGTTACCTGGAACACCAATGGTATAATTGGTAAAAAAAACCGAACTGGAAGTATTTCTACATAGTCAACACATTGATGTCTGCTTAGTCTCAGAAACACATCTCACCAATCAATCATTTGTTGAAATACATGGTTATAAATGCTATCATTCCATCCATCCCGACAACCAAGCCAAGGGAGGAAGTGCCATTTTCATCAAAGAGTCTATTAATCATCATGAAGAACTTCCAATCCAACAGGTGAGTACACAACTAACTACAGTAGTAATAAAAACTACAAAACAAAATTTTAAAGTTGGAGCCATTTATATACCACCGAGATATAATCTTAAAGATTCATACTAGGAGGAGACTTTAATGCTAAACACGTAGATTGGGGCGCAAGAATAACAAATACAAAAGGAAAAGCGTTGAGAGAAGCTATTAGAAATATGAGCGGTAACTTTCATTCCACGGGAAAACCAACTCACTGGCCGGCGGATAGGACAAAAATCCCAGATTTATTGGACTTTTTTATCTCCAGAAAAGTATCATCGAATTACATCGAAATTAATGACTGCTTTGACCTTGAATCAGACCATTCAGCAGTAGTCATGACTATGAGTGAGAAAATCATTAAAAGGGAAGCCAAGCCAACACTCACCAACAAAACAACGCATTGGAAGTGCTTCCAAGCTGACCTACAAGAGGAAATCACGTTGAACTTAAGATTTAAAACAGCCGAACAACTCGACATAGAAACCGAAAAAATTACGACTCTGCTGCAAACAGTTGCTTACAAAAACACCAAAGAAATTACTCACATCACGAAAGGAGTAAACTATCCGGTTGAAATTCGGATTTTAGTCAAA